CAACCCAACACAAGCCCGTATCTACCCATAAGGGCGTAAGCTTTGGGCTAGGTCTAAGTAAATCACTCTATACATGAATTGCGTATTGACCTCAAGTCAAAGGGCTATTACACCATTCCACACACCGATACTCCCATAGACACATAAACAAATGGTTTATCGGTAGGGTATGTCAATATTCTCCAAAGTATCAATGTGTCCATCACGAATAAAAATTATTCATAGTAGTGAGACATACTATATTCTCTAAGAATGTGATGCAGACCACATGTCAATCTATCGCGTATCATTAATATCCCTTTCTTAATGATCATCGATTGAGGCGATTTGAGAGTTATACTCTATCAATTAACATCTCACTCTGTCAGTGACAGCATTAACTCAAGGGAACAATTAATTAATAAATTGCAAACAATCAAACAATTAATTAATTAATTGCAGTACCATGATTATAATCTAATATAATTGTTAATGTGATCATGTATATATATCCTCAAAAAGATTGTCTCTAGGACACATATACCAACACTCCTTGCCCCGGTCTCTGAAAACGAAATCAAAGACGCTCTTGAAGACATCGAAAGTCGTAAGGCCCCGGCCCGGATGGGTACACATCAATGTTTTTTCGGAAGAGTTGGGATATTGTTGGAAAGGACCTTACCTCGGCCGTGCAAGAATTTTTTAGGAATGGGCGATTCCTCAAGTAATGGAACCATACTACTCTAGTAATGGTCCGCAAAGGCCCCCATGCGTCCCAAGTCTCGGACTTCCGACCGATTGCTTGTTGCAATACCACTTACAAAATTTGTTTGAAAATCATCGTCCAACGCGTAAGCTCCGTCCTCGATTCAATCATTGATGGAGCTCAAGCCGCCTTTATGATGGGTAGAAACATGTCGGACAACATTCACCTCATGCAACAATTACTCCGAGATTATATGCGAAAGCGGATTTTCCCGATGTGCACAATCAGGATTGACCTTCACAAGGCTTTTGACTCAATTTCTTGGGATTTCCTGAGGCAAGTTCTACATGGACTTCAATTCCCCGCGACTTTTATTAATTGGATCAGGGAGTGCGTCACCACGACTTCATACTCCATCTCAATCAACGGATCGCTTTGTGGCCACTTCAAAGAAGCTAAGGGGTTGAGACAAGGTGATCCGCTCTCGTCTTATCTCTTTGTCATTTGCTTGGAGTACCTCTCGAGGCTCATGAACCAGAGCACAGTTAGCAGATCGGATTTCAACTATCACCCCAAATGTAAGGTTCTTAGAATCACCCATCTAGCCTTTGCGGATGACCTAATGCTTCTCTCGCGGGGGGACCCTCGTTCTATTCAAATCCTAATGGAATGCTTGAGAGACTTTGGGGCTAAATCGGGTTTGGAAGTGAATGTCCAAAAGTCCAACATCTACATGGCGGGGGTTGGCGACTTGGAGCATTCGGAGATTCTTCGTGACACTAACCTCCGCCCGGGGTCTATGCCTTTTCGGTACCTCGGTATCCCTCTCACGGCGGGAAGAGTCACGGTTGGGCAATTTGATGCGCTCATTACCCGACTTTCAGAGTATATTAACGCCTCCTCTCTCTCTCTTATGCGGGGCGAGTGGAGCTCATTAGATCGGTCCTCCAAGGGGTGGAATGCTTTTGGATGTCTATCTTCCCTCTCCCGTCGACCGTTCGTACGCTCATCATCCAACGATGCTGACACTTCCTTTGGGGCTCAAAGATTGCACCGGTGGCTTGGCATACCGTCACCCTTCCACGTTCGGAGGGAGGCTTAGGCCTTCCGGACCTAAAAGCGTGGAACCAAACTTTGTTGGCACGAACACTATGGAATATACATGCCAAGAAAGACACTTTGTGGTACCGTTGGGTTCATTATGTTTATCTAAGGCAAAAATCTATTTGGGAATGGACCATACATAAGAGTGATTCACCCTTTTCAAGAACCTCTATGAAATTCAAAATCTAATGGTTGAAAAGTTAGGTAATATGCAAGCCGCCGAGGCCACTCTTAGACTTTGGGACTCCAAATCTCACTCCAAGGGGCCCTCATGCGCGTACGAGGCCCCAGGGCACACCCGTCCCTTGGAAGGGAGTGGTTTGGGGGCCTGCAAACACCCCCAAACACGCCTTCATTCTTTCGCTAGCAACGCTTGGGAGGCTCCGAACCAAGGATAAGCTTGGCTTCCTTGATCTTGACCCTACTTGTGCCCTTTGTGGGGAAGCTTCCGAGACCAATGATCATCTCTTTTTCACTTGCCCCCTTTCGACTCAAGTTTGGATTGGCATCCGACAATGGCTAGGATTGAGACATCAACTCTCCACTCTAAAGAGTGCATTGGAGTGGATTACGAAGGAATCCCAAGGCTCTGGTTGGAGAACAAAAGCAAAGAAGGCCGAACTCGCGTCAACGGTGTATTTTCTTTGGAATGCTCGGAATAGGAAGATATTCGAAAACAAAGTACAAATTCTGGAGCTCATTATTCGGAAGATTCAAACCCATGTATACAGGAATATTTTTTGTAACCGAATGTCCTTGCCGAAGAGGAGAGAAATGCCCTTGGAAATGACTAGGTTAAGCCTCCTTAAGGTACGCAACATTACAACCCGTGTTTAGCGCACAATATTCGCGGTGTATACGTATGTACTTGCCGAGTTTGAGAGGAAAGTCTTAGACTTTGATGGACTTATATCTTGTGTTGGGGAATTGAGAGAAAAAGAATTTTGACTAGCGAGTGAGGAGCCGAGATTGTGGCTGCTCACTTTGCTTTTGTATGCCGTGTGACTGCGCGTCGCAACGCGGAAAATTTAAATTTATAAAGCTTCCTTAACAAACCTCTACTAACTAGTAGTAGCGGCGAGTAATGGTCGATCCCACGAGGAGCAGGAATTAAATTGTGACAATTTCGTATTAATTAAATTAAAACTAAGAAAGCAATGAAAATGGGAGGGATTGATTTTATAAAACTAAATATAAAAATAATTAAATAAACTAAAAATCAAATAAAATAAGAGAAGTCCAGTTTTCGGTTCAGTTATCATCCAATCTAAATCTACCGTTAATTAATTTCGACCATTTCTTTAAATTGCTAACGAATTACCAATCCTAGCTAACAACAAGCTCTTTTAACCGAATTTTCCCTTACAGAGTACTTAATCGAAATAAGCTCTTCGACTAAACCTAACTAGTGGACAACCTAGAATTAGCTCTCTAGATTTAATCCACTAGCAGCATTAATCTCTAAGAAAATATATCAGTCTAAGCAATGGACGCAAAAGCTCGGACCATTTAACTTATGTTCACGCTACCCTAGAGATGCACGACCCCTAGTTTACTACTAGCGAAACGAGACAATAACAATTACGGATTAAAGTTCCGAATCTAACAACTAAACTATGAACATCGACATAGCTGGCCAAACTAAATCAAACACCCACAATTCATAAACGCGATACACAGATAACATGAATCAACTCATCGACAAAATAAATACGGTGTCTCGATTAATCAACGATAAGAAATAGATCATTCAATTCCTAGACAAATTGAAGTTAGGGTTCAAATATCCCCTCAAACTGGATAAAAATCTAAACTAGCATACTAGTGAAAATAAATAAAAGATAAAAGAGAGAAGATAAAAATATCTCCCTCGTGTGCGGATGCAGCTTCCCTCCGCGTGTGTAGCCTTCTTCCCAGTCCATGTGTGTTCTCTCCTGTTCGGCTGCTACTCTCTCTGCTCCCTTTTTCTTTTCTGTCTGCCTGTGCGTGGCGTGAATAATCCCCCCAAAATAAATCCAAGTCTCCTTTTATAATATGTGAGTGCTGATGTCTCTTAGAAAATTATTCCTAAGTTACCTCCAATAAAACTCTTCCCAGCACTTTGATATATGGTCTCTCAATTAATCTTGGTTGTCACGTTTTTTTCTTCACTAATTAATTAAGTCATGGCTGCGTGGCGTCCGTCCATTTCATGTGTGCTCCAAATGAAATCCTCCAAACCAAAAATCAATTGCGGCGTGTCCTTTTCTCTTAATTGGGTCTAACTTCACAAACATATGGGCCGAATAATGGACTGATATCGGAGGCTCGATTATCGCGTGAACTCCAGTCTAATACTTCGCGTCCACAAATTACTCTAATATACTGAAAATAACACATAAAACATCAAAGCCAATGAATCCGTCCAAATAGTAAATAGGCCGAAAAATATAAACGTGCGCATAAATTAAGTATATAAAACTACACTATTAAATATATAAAATACGCACATTTCTCGACCAATCACCGTGGGACGGTCGATGTACCATCAGCTTTAATCTATAAAATTTAATTTACCGATAAAAAAAACAACCTCAGCAAACTTGTCAGATACGGATATACGGTTCTTGATTCAAATACATCAATTTTGGAAAAAAAATTGTTTCACTTCTCAAAATTGGAAAAAGTGAACAATTTTTGGAAAAAAATGGTTCCCGGTGAATCAAAAAAAGTTATTGTTGATGTGATGTGTGAGGATAATTGATTGATACTATATTGGTAAAAACTAGAAGAGTTAAGTATAATTAAAGTTGAGTTAAATTTTGAATTAAAAATAGTATAACGAAAAGTTATCCCAATTAAAATAATTTAATTGTGTTATCCAATCACATAGGTGTATAGTGATGTTAAATTAAATAAGGTCGGCTCGAGTTCGGCTAGAGCTCGAGGCCTTAACGAGCCGTACTCGAGCTCATTTAAAACTCGTTAAAGCTCATTTAAAACTCATTTGGTTAACGAGCCGTTCGATAAGGCTCGAAAAGAAAATTCTTATATAAATTTCTATAAATCGACTCTTTAAAGTTCGATTTCGGCTCGTTAAAGCTCGAGCTCGAGATATTAACGAGCAGAACTCGAGCTCGATTTCTAGCTCGTTTATTTAACGAGCCTAGCATTTACAAGCCACCTCAACAGCTTAACTAAGAATAACCCAAACGATATCGTTGAAGTCCCAACACTTTCCACATATGGACTGTTTCTTCCATTTCTACCCTTCTCCTTGAAAAGCTGAGGAAACTAGGTAAAGCCAGAGGTTCCGCTCAGAAAACCAAGAACACTGAAGAACAAAATTTCCACAGTCCCTCTCGCAATCCGAAAATGGCTTTCGCCACGCGCCTGCTTTCCAGATCCACTCGCCAGGTCCGATATCTGGCTTTCCCAATATCTCTTATCTGATTGCATTTTTTAATGTGTAAATGGAGCTATTGATAAAACACTAGTTGTTTTGGATCATTGATTTGGGTTAAAATGGTCGAAACACGAGGTGATCGATCTACTGTTTCTTAATTTTGATTATTTTTTTTGTTTTTTGCTTTTGTTTTTTTNCGGCCGGAGTGTGTTGTTCCATCTCGCGCCTTCGCTAAAGGAGCTGGAAGCGCTCCCCCAGCTTTGAAGGGTGATGGTGCGTTTTGGATTTGTTTTGGAAGTGTTATATGTTTGGATTGTTCCCGGCATTGATGATTTTGTTTTCTTCTTTCTTCTTTTCTTCGTTTTGGGTGTTTGGCTATGATGGTAATGAGGATGTGGAGAATTTGTTATTTTAGCTATTGCAAAGGTTTGCCGAGGAAGAAAACTGCACACTCCATTAAAATGATCCGTTTGTACATGTACAAGATGTTTTAATCTGATAAATTAGTTTTCTAAAGTGACGAGTGGAGGGGCTTGTGGTTTATGAACTGTGGATGTACAAAATGTTTTAATCTGATAAATTAGTTTTCTAAAATGACGAGTGGAGGGGCTTGTGCTTTATGAACTGTAGATTTAAAAACCAAACTGTCACATTGACTGTTTTAGGTATTGTTGATGAATATGTCAATACTAATTGACAAATCATGAATTTAGTTAGGATTCAGGATTTCCTCTGGGTGGTTTAGCACCATTCTGAGACGGCAGTCAAATGATTGGTGGAGAGAGGTCTGAGAGTATTTAGATATGTTTTCATATGACTCTTACTGAAGTAGTATGTTAAACATCATAGGTTACGAGTAATTTGGACAGACTTTTTTTAGGTAGAGTGACAAATAATGTACTATTCTTTGACAATGTAGCCTATTCTGAATGCTGTAGATGACGGAGAGCTGCTTAGGCTTATTTGGTTAATTGTGGAACACTCAAGTTCTTAAGTCCTGTGTAGAATTTCATTTGATATTTTGATTGATGGGTCTGTACGAGCTCTTGTAGTAGAGTTAAATATATATGTAATTGTATATCTTTCTAGTCGTTTTACGTCTTCATCTTTACTTAACTTCCAATATTATATGTAATTGTATATCTTTCTAGTCGTTTTACGTCTTCATCTTTACTTAACTTCCAATATTTTTGAAGATCGTACATTATCTTTCACATGAGGTCAATTGGAGATAGGTTTTTGAACTCTCTCATAGTCTCATATCATTGTGTCCTTATGTTTTCTGCTGCTTATTTATTATCTTCGTTTTACGTTGTGTGTGGAACTGCGGATCATTGTCACAGATATGGTTAATTCAAAGGGCTGTTAAATACTTAAATGAAGATAGGGGATGCTTCATTCTGTTTTGTAGTTGTTCTTGAGCATTCAGTATTCGATAGCATCGGCAGCGACCATGTAGCTAACTAAGTTTTTAGATGGAAATGATCCATGCTCAAAAGATGAATAATGTGAACAAAAAGGGAAAATAAACACTGAAATACATATGACATTTATCTTTTAGGGGTACAATGATCTGACTGAAGATCTTTACTTAACAAGAAAATGATGTCAAATGAGCTTTGGAATGTACGTTAGGGACTGTAGTCGTGGTCTTTTTCTGTTAAATCTCAGTTGTGATATTTTAATGCCTTATTTCAGTTAAATTTGATCCTGGTTTTCACTTAATGTTGTGACTCTCTGCATCGGTCTTAATTCCAAACTTTAGATTAGTCTCAACAACCTAGCCATTGTAGGGTACTATGGTTGCTTGAAAACATCATAGGATCTTTTTTCTACCATTCTGGAAATTTTCCGTGAGTCGTGAGCAGCACCATTGTTGTGCTTTTTTTTTTGTCACTCGTTTAGGTGAGTGTACCATTTCATTTTTGACAAGTTGCTATATGATTTTTGGCCTATATATGCCCGATTCTAATTTTCTTACTGTTGCACATTCTTCTGAAGAGTTGTTGAAGGGCATTTTCCTTGAGGTGAAGAAAAAATTTGAGACAGCCATAGGGGTTCTACGGAAAGAGAAGATCACCATTGATCCTGATAATCCTGCTGCTGTGGCTGAGTATGCCAAAGTCATGAAGAGTGTTCGGGAAAAGTAAGGTCTTCTATTCTTCTATTGAATCTTTGTACTAGTGTCTTAAAATTCGCTATATATCTCCTGTTTGTAACCCTGGAGAAAATATATTAGCTTTCTTGAATTGAAGAAAATACTGTTAGTAATTCTTGTTTGCGATGGCACATCAAAACGTCTAACCACGATAAAACAATCGCCTTCTGAAGTAGTCTCAGTTAAAGCTCCCATTGATAACTCTTGATCTGTTGAAGGTATTGCATGCTCAGCGTGGCAAGATGAACCAACATCTTTGAATTTTTCTTTTAAGTTATTACTATTTTTTTGAGTTGGCGAGCCATTAAATAAATTTGATTTCTCACTTTTCTGGAAGCATATAGTAATTGTCAAAACTTCTTTACATTTATCATTTACTTCAAGAAGTTCCATATTGTACTTATCTTAGTGCAGGACAGCAACAATATCTTCTACTGCGAAGTCATGCAACCTTCTATTGCTTATCTGTATCTATGTTATAAATTATGTCGTGTTTTTGTTCTACCTCCTGTCTCCTGTGTTATTGATTTCTTGCATTGGTAAAGCATCCTGTCCTCATATGTGATGTGACCTTATCTTTTGTTTTCCTTTTCTTTTCTTTTTTTTTTTGACGCAAATTATACGTGTAGGGCTGATCTTTTCTCGGAGTCACAGAGGATCAAATACACTATTGAATCACGAACCGAAGATATACCTGATGCCCGATCCTATTTGCTGGCCTTGAAGGACATCAGGGTCAAGTATGTTCTTACCTCTGACTTTGCCATGTGTGTTGCATGACTAGTTTTATATTTACCTCGAGTCTGATAACCTGGGATATGAGTGTTGAATATTTGAGATAATATGCTGTTGGTTTTCTGCTTGAGACATCGTAAAATTCTTATCTTACAAATTTGCTACTGTTTTAGAATATATTTGCTGATCAAAAAGGAAATTATTTGAATGTTTAGATTGTAATTGAGCCTGCAACCACGAGTCTCCTCCATTATACATTTATCTTAATAATTTTGGCAGGAGGGGCCTTGTTGATGAACTAGGTGCAGAGGCTATGATGATGGATGCACTAGACAAAGTTGAGAAGGAATTGAAAAAGCCACTTTTGAGAAATGATAAAAAGGGAATGGCCCTCCTTAAGGCTGAGTTCGACAAAGTCAACCAAAAGTAAGTTTTTAAGGAAGTGAAAATTTGTTGTTGAAAGAATTCATTCTTCATATTTGGACTGTTGGTGTTTGCATATACAACAATGCTTCATGAAATGCCTTTTGCCTTTGCCTTTGTTGCATTAGCTAGTTGCATACTTGCATTGCCTAATATAAGCTTAGATTTACTAAAATTTGTGCCCTCCCTCCCACAAAGATAGACATCATTGCTATTTGTTTTGTCCTACAAATATTGTCATGTTGCAATATTAAGTTGTTCCCTTCTTGCCCTTATTTAATTTGCATGCATATCAACAAAATAGAATCATAAGGGTGTATTATTAACATGAGGGTCATATTAGGAAAATACTCATAAATTTTATTTTCCTGCAATACCAGTAGATTTTTTTCTTAACTCGTGTGATAAACACAAGGCTGTCTTTGTGGGATGGAGGGACTATAATTTTGCTGTGAATACTGGTCAGGTGCTTTCTGTTCTCTCACACTTAAGAGCATTTGTCGTTGTGTAGGCTTGGCATTCGTAGAGAAGACCTGCCAAAATATGAGGAGCAATTGGAACTAAAAATCGCTAAAGCCCAACTGGAGGAGCTGAAGAAGGATGTTCTTGAAGCCATGGAAACTCAGAAGAAACGGTATGCCTTCTCATATTACCTTGTCTGACTCTGTGTATGCACGTTATTCGTGCAATGATGCAAATGCAGACTTGAACTTTGATTTTTTAAGGCTAAGATATTATTACCTTCTGTTTCCATTTTTTGCCAGGGAAGAGTTCAAGGAGGAAGAAATGCCTGATGTGAAGTCGTTAGACATCCGAAATTTCATCTAAACCTGAAATTATGCAACTTATCTTATGTACTTGTTTGGCCATTTATGCCTGTGCTCTTTGGGAATCTCCTATGTTTGGAAGGAGTTAATTTGCTTCTGACAGATTGAAGAATACCAGACACGGGATGCCTTGTCGTTTCATTAATAATGATAATGATGTCGAAAATTTGCATAGATCATGCACATCTTTCTTGTTTGATGCAGTTTGTCCTGGAACAAGCAATAATTATGCTGTATTTTGAGCTTGATATTCGCCTTGCACAGCTCGCTGAAATATGCCGAGTTTTGTTTTTCTTAAATTTTATTGGGTGTGCACGATGCATTTTCGTGTCTGATTTAGTTCACTTGTTCATGTTGAAAGATTTTCTTTTAGTTTACAAGATATAAGTTGGGAGTACAGAAGTGGTTTTTCAAGCCAAATAGTTTTCGAACCTGTCTTGATGCCTTCCAAGAAAAAAAGAAGACACAATAAGAATGGAGAAGATGAGAGTTTTC